TTATATGTTCATTTATTCAAACCCCTAAACATCTACCACAAGAAAAGAAACCAACTGTATCCAAAAATGTGCACAGTTTATTAGGTGGATCTGGTATATTGTGGACCAGTTTATTACGTAAATTATTATAAACATATTGCCATGCTAAACATAACTGAACAACAATGCACATCAAAATAAAATCATATACAGATAAAAAATATATATGAGTCCAAGTAAATGAGAGGGAATAAGTGATCCAATATATGTGGTAAAATGTAGAGATGAATGTGTGTCACCACATGTATCCAACGTGTCTCCAGTTGTGAAACACCTCATAGGAGATTTTTGTAGATATATGTATTTTTCATATGCTGGATATTTTTGTAGCTACATGCAATTTTATATTTTTTATTTTTGCCCATTAGATCACAGATGGCTGATGAATTTTCTTTTTAATTTCAGACCTGTACTGCTATATTATACATTTTTTGGTGCTGGCTTTTGATCGATTGTGATGCATCTTGGTATGGGTGGCACTGATTTTTATGGCTCTCTATGTACCTGAGGACGAGGCTGGTTATGTTCAGACCTCCGTTTGAACTTTTGGAGATGGCGGCCATCTTTGATGGGTGCTATGTTCTTTTATGGTTCTCAATGTACTTGAGAACAAGGCTTGGTTCTATCTAGACCTTTGTTCCACGTTTTAGATATGGTGGCCATCTTTGATCTCAAAATAAGTCGTGATTACATTATCATGCTTTTCCCTTCTGATGGATCTATATAAATTGCATGTTGACTGATGATGTCACTTATGATGAAATGTATTGGGCAGAACTTGTGCTCATTACATCATCATGCTGTATAATATGCCACATGAGTTTTGATTGGTTCTCAGGACCGCTGTGAATTTATACAAAGTGCTTTTTTGCTTTTGGATACGTGAGTGTATTAACTGGATTTGAATAAAACTAGCCATATGGTTTTAAACTGTGTGTGTCTTTCTACATTTCTTTTACAATACATGTGAATTGCCACCATTGGAAAAATGTGAAATAAGTTGGAGGTGAACGGAGGAGGAGATCCCAAATTAGGATACGGGGAAACGATTGGGTGGTATGAAGATCTGCTTTGAATTCATGCTTTTCTGACTGGTGACACACATTCATCTCTAAATTTTACCACATATATTGGAACTCTTATTTCCTCTCATTTACTTGGACTCATATATATTTTTTATCTGCACGTGATTTTATTTTGATGTGTAGTTATGTTTAGCACAGCAATATGTTTATAATAATTTCCACACAATTCTAATTGTTCTGCCAGCTTCTTTTTTTGTCTCATATCTGTGCGATTTCTATTGGTAGTGCATAATACATAAATTAGGATCTTTTTACGATACATAAATAGCAGTTTCTTTTGGAGTCATTTGTTTTTTGTCCTTTCGCATAATGGGCCAATATTTACAGGCCATCTATTTGAGGGCTCTATAATCCCAATTAAATTCTGTAATAAAGGCTATATCATACCCATCTTTTTTTATGTTATTTTTATCTTCAAGTAGTATATCCCTATCCATTTCTTGGACTTTGTTTCTAATTCCTAACAATATGTTATCTCTATAACCTTTCTCCTTAAATCTATCTACTATTACATCTGCTTGTGCATTGAAATCATTTACATCACTACAATTCTGCTTGACCCACATAGGTTGCCCCTTCGGAATTCCCCGCAACCACCTAGGGTGGTGACAGCTCTCAATGGGAATGTAACTATTCCGATCTTTATCTTTAACAAACATCTTCGTATGTATTTTCCCATTACTTTTATAGAGAAATAAGTCCAGAAAATTAACTACATCTTTATTCTATCCTCCAGTAAAAATTTGTCCATATTGATTACAATTGATGACTTTCAAAAATTCTTCCTAACTCTCTACTGATCCTTTCTATACAATCACTATATCATCTATAATTCTTTTGTGCATGGGTAATCCCGGTATTTCTCTGCCATATATCTCCCTTTCCTCCCATTGTGCAAGTATAATACTAGCCACACTAGGGGAATACTTGGCTCCCATAACAAATTTCCTTACTTGATTATAAAAGGAACCACTATGCCAAAAATAATTACTAGTCATTGCCAGCTCCAAAAATTTCAAAAGGGACATTTGTTGGGTCGGTTTGAGGTCAGACTTGTCTCTAAAGCTGTTTTTATAGCTAATAGTGCATCATCTTGTTTAATACTGGTGTATAATGATTCTATAAAAGGAGAGAGAGGGGCGCCAGACTAAGTGCAGTATTTGACAATCATTTATTGCACACAATGGTATGTAACTCACAAGAGATTAGCAGGCATGTATACATAGGGACGTCATTCAGATGGGGTTCCAGAGGCAAAGAAGAGAGGGTAGATGGACATCTGGGGGCCACGGCTGTGGTGGAAGCCAGGTCTCCTGACTCACATCGAGCCCTCTGCAGCGTGTACAGGCTGTGTCTCGTGTGGAACCAGGCTGGAACGCAAGATGGCCGCTGGGTGAAAGTGATATCACTACGGGAACGTAATGCCACAGGAAGGGGCGGTAAACGCATTTCAAAGCTAGTTGCTTCTTCGTCAGACCTGATTGGCCACAAGTCCGGCCATCTAAATAGGGAGTTGAGGGGGCGGGGAATGGCTGTGTGGGATGGATATTCCCGCCCTTTCAGGCTATCGATTCAGGAAGGGGGGTAGTACAATGTTTAGGGCATATGGGATAAGAAAAAATTACAAATAGCAGGATACATATGGGGGATAAATACAAATGCACAACACTTTTCAGATATTTATTTGGAAAAAAAGTTTGAAAACCATTAATTTTTTTTCCTTCCACTTCACAATTATGTGCCACTTTGTGTTGGTCTATCACATAAAATCCTAATAAAATGTATTTACGTTTTTGGTTGTAACATAACATGTGGAAAAATTTTAAGGGGTATGAACCTTTTTTCAAGGTGCTGTATAAATTTTTGCAGAAGAGCGGACCTTTCCATATATTCTGTGGTGTCTCTGAAAGGATCTAATTTCTCTTTTAATTCCACAATTTTACCTTTTAATCTTTGTACCTCATGGACAAAGTCAAATGCAGGAGTTTTTGTTCACTTTCATTAAAGAAATTACTGTAAACCACTCATCTGCAAGTTCCCTATCCTCGAAGCCATCGTTAGGTCTTAAGTCCCAATGTAAACTTTTTGGGGTCATTTTCTCTTTCGTGTATTGTTCTAAAGTTATTATATCCCACCATCCCACCAAAACTTTAACATTTTGATCAATATCCTTATGTGTAGTGTCAAGTGAATTGGTGAATCAAAAATACCATTAACATCAATATTTCTATTTTTAACAAAATCAGATATGTCTATATTGTCTAGTGTTTATCTCCAAATCAAATTAAATAAACAAATATGTGTATATAATACAGGGCTGCATGTCTAAAGGCTACTATAGCCAAATGCATAACAAAAATTTAGGACCACGGTCTCATATTCTTTAAATGATATATATGCCCACTAATAGACTTAAAGTGGTTGTACATTTTACTTACATTTTAATTTTACCTACAGGTAAGCTTATAATAAAGCTTATTATACCTTTTCCTACCTTTTCGCAGAGGTTATGTTACTCCATGTGCTGGCATCCATCTTGGATTTCTGCTGAGCATGGTGGGAAGCTTTTATGCCTTCAGGTCTCTGAGGTCCATCCCCCAGAGGGGTGTGGCTGAGTACATATAAGCCTGTGATCCGCACATGCTCTTTGCACTTGTGTCTTGTGTCTTTGTCTTGCTACAGCTCTGTGTATATGCTCGTGACTCTTCTGGTATTCTGACTCGGCTTGTAACTAAGACCATTCTCTGTGTTTTCCTTCGATCTGACCTTCCGTTGCTGAACCCGGCCCGTGACCTGTGATTCTCTGTCTACTGTTCTGTACTGTTTTGTCCTGTTGTTGTCGACTCGGCTTGCCTGACTACGCTATTGTCATTCTCACCAGCTACACGCCATTGGCGGCGGCCATTACCGCAGCCGGGGTGTCACGGGGGCCGCGACCTGGTTCCTGGCTGCGTCAAGTCCATCCCCACCATCAGGGGCCCTGGTGAAGGGCAGCCTGGGACTTGGACTCCGCGCCCTGAGGGACTTCGGTCTGTTGGTGGTGGTTGTCGTCAGCCAGTGCCTTACCCTGCCACTAGGCCTACCTGTCTGTTCCACAGCCCTGCCCTGACAGCTTACCTGTAGGTAAAATTAATATCTCCTATACGTGCACCGTTTAGGAGATATTCTCTCTTCATTTATTCCACCACATGCGCTCTGAAGGAAAGACATACCTGTGCCATTCCTTAAGAGCTGCGTGCCGTGGCCTCGTGACTCCTGTGTGCATGCGCGGGAGTGACGTCATTGTAGCCCGGCCTGTCAGAATGCTGGAGCTCGCGAATCCGTAAGGAAGACAGGTGAAGATGGAAGCCTCTACAGCAATGACATCACGCCACTGGAGGGCTTTGTTTTAAGGTAAGTTTTACATACCGTATTTTCCGGCGTATAAGATGACTTTTCAACCCCTGAAAATCTTCTGAAAAGTCGGGGTCGTCTTATACGCCGGTGCGAGCCAGTGTCAGGGCGGCACTTTTTCGAGGGGCGGCGCTGCCCCCCCTCCTCCTCCAATGGACACTAAGTACAGGGGTGGGCAAAGGGGCTGCTGTACCTTACCTGGCTCCGGTCCCACGACGATCCGGTCCAGGAAGCGCGGCTGCTCCTTCTTTCAGTTCGGCCGCTCGATGGTCACGTGGCCGCTCGGCTCCGCCTCCTCGCCAGTGATTGGTTGCTTGTGTGCCTTTCCAGTGCAGGCGCCCAATCACCGGCGAGGAGGCGGGGCCGAGCGGCCCCGCAAAAATCGAGCTGCCGAACTGGAAGAAGGAGCAGCCGCTCCTCTCCCCCACTGACACTAACGATGGGGCACTACTCCTCCTCCACACTGACACCAACGATGAGGCACTGTTCCTCCCCCACTGACACCAACGATGAGGCACTGTTCCTCCCCCACTGACACCAACGATGAGGCACTGTTCCTCCCCCACTGACACCAACGATGAGGCACTGTTCCTCCCCCACTGACACCAACGATGAGGCACTGTTCCTCCCCCACTGATACCAATGATGGGGCACTATTCCCCCCCCCACTGACACCAATGATGGGGCACTATTCTCCCCACTGACACCAATGATGGGGCACTATTCTCCCCACTGATACCAATGATGGGGCACTATTCCTCCCACTGATACCAACGATGGGGCACTATTCTCCCCACTGGGGCATACCACTGATACGATGGGGCACTATTCTCCCCACTGATACCAACGATGGGGCACTATTCTCCCCACTGATACCAACGATGGGGCACTATTCTCCCCACTGATACCAACGATGGGGCACTATTCTCCCCACTGATACCAACGATGGGGCACTATTCCTCCCCCACTGATACCAACGATGGGGCACTATTCCTCCCCCACTGACACCAACGATGGGGCACTATTCTCCCCACTGACACTATTCTCCCCCCACTGACACCAACGATGGGGCACTATTCTCCCCACTGACACCAACGATGGGGCACTATTCTCCCCACTGACACCAACGATGGGGCACTATTCTCCCCACTGACACCAACGATGGGGCACTATTCTCCCCACTGACACCAACGATGGGGCACTATTCTCCCCACTGACACCAACGATGGGGCACATTCTCCCACTGATACCAACGATGGAACGCTATTCTCTCCCACTGACACCAACGATGGGGCGCGATTCCTGCCACTGATACCAACGATGGGGCGCGATTCCTCCCACTGACACCAACGATGGGGCGCGATTCCTGCCACTGACACCAACGATGGGGCGCGATTCCTGCCACTGACACCAACGATGGGGCGCGATTCCTGCCACTGACACCAACGATGGGGCGCGAATTCCTGCCACTGACACCAACGATGGGGCGCAATTCCTGCCACTGACACCAACGATGGGGCGCAATTCCTCCCACTGATACCAATGATGGGGCACTATTCCTCCCACTGATACCAATGATGGGCACTATTCCTCCCACTGACACCAATGATGGAGCACTATTCCTCCCACTGACACCAATGATGGGACAATATTCCTCCCACTGACACCAATGATGGGGCACAATTCTTCCCACTGACACCAATGATGGGGCACTATTCCTCCCACTGACTAATGATGGGGCACTATTCCTCCCACTGACTAATGATGGGGCACTATTCCTCACACACTGACATTAATGATGGGGCACCATCATTGGTGTCAGTGGGAGGAATAGTGTCCCATCATTGGTATCAGTGGGAGGAATAGTGCCCCATCATTGGTGTCAGTGGATGAAATAGTGCCCCATCATTGGTGTCAGTGGGAGGAGTAGTGCCTCATCATTGGTGTCAGTGGGAGGAATAGCACACCATCATTGGAATACCATACTGAAATACCATACCATATTGAAATCAAATCTAATGTTTTTAAATTTTTATTTGGTGTGCGTTGGAAGAGGGGGTAGTCTTATACGGCGAGTATAGCTTAAACCCTATATTTTAACAGGAAAAGTAGGGGGTCGTCTTATACGCCCAGTCGTCTTATACGCCGGAAAATACGGTAATTTGCTAGTATGTAATGCATACTAGCACATTATGACATTACCTTGCATGGGACTTTCTTTTTTTTTTTTTTTGTCTGCGGTTTACTACCGTTTTAAGAGCCTATTAAGTGCAGTTCATTTTTGTTTATATTATTTGGCTTTCTTAAATCTATTAACGGGAGTCTCCAATAAGGCACATATATTATCATTTAACGAATATTAGAGCGTGGTCCTAAATTTTTGTTATAAATTGAACAGTATGGATAAAAACACAACCTTCAAAAAATGCAACGTAATGCATACAAGGTATAAACATATTGCAATTAGTGTCTTTCAAAAACCAAGCAATGGTGTTTATTTACTAAAGTCAGATAGACTGTTCGCTTTGCAAGGAAAATGTTTCTTTGCTTCAGATGGAGCTCTGCTGACTTAAATCATTGAATCATGTGCAAGCAAAAATCCAGTTTTTTTTTTTATTTTACCTTGCTTGTGATTGGGTATTTGCAAAGTGAATTTTCACCACATTTACTAAGCTAAGGAAAAGTTCCTTTGCAAAGTGAATAGTCTATTTGCTCTTCTTAAACAACTCCTATGTATCAAGTGTCAGAACAGGAGAAAAGAATCATTCTCCCTAAGTGCAATCCTTCATGCAGTCTGATCATTTCCAAACGTATCCAGGCAAAAGTATCTGCTCCTTCACCACAAACAAATCCCAGTGGAAAAAGGCTTCCCAGATAATCGTGACCACTTAAGTGAATAAGGGTGTTTTTTGCAATGAGTTGATTTTCTTCCACTTTTGCATTAAAAAAAATCAGAAGAAAAATGTGTGACCATGTATTCCTATGCAACTCTTCAACACTGATCCTGTAAGTTTTTTTTTTTTAAATCTACTTACTGGATTTTTGGTGCAGCACCTTTCCATTGAAATCAATGGATAACGCAGCAAAAAGATACCCGCTTTACGTTTTTGGTATGATTTTTGCCATGTAAACATATGCGCCGCAAACGTGGTTAAATTGTGGCAAAAATGCATATGCGATCAGTGTGAATGTTGCCTTAGTTGGTCAAAGAGTGCTTGGTAGTTAAGCTCAGTAATGATCTCCTTCTCCCTCAGGGGTTGTAACACACTCCATCAATGGACATATGAGACAGAGATAGAAGATTCTTAGTGCAACACCATTTATTAAGATTAGTAACAAAACAAATTAAGACACTTTCAAATACAATGCCCAGCACAAAGGTAGGAAGTTTAATTACAATGAAATAGACTGTTCACAAGCTCCAATCTTTCACATAAGTTTGCACCCACCCCCTCCATTCTTAATGACATTACAGTGCTTCATCTAGCACATCATGGGGTTGATGGGGTTTGGGAAGGTTAAGTACCCTTAACAATTTGTTTTGTGTCTGTGTTCCTTTGGAGATATTTCCTGTTACTTCATGTCTTAGAAACACAGCAGGAAGTGCGAGAAAATATTTCAAAGTAGGGGAAAGTCCCATTTTGACAAACGAAACAATAATATGGTGCAGCACTATATATGCATAGAGGAAAAAGAAATAAATGAAATAATGCTCATAGAATCTACATAAAACGTGCAAAACAGTGAACAATAATACATCTACATATAAGGTCCTATGTTTGGACCCAGTAAGTGAGCTAATAAAATAAGTGGTGCATAAACTCATATATTAGACCCACTCCCTAACATGGGATAAATACCATACACCAATTGTGTACACCATGACTCCCAAATGCGGGATATAAAATGCAAAAAAAGATATTGTGCTAAAAATGTATATACCTGTCACTTTGGTGCAATTAAATCCCGCATTTAGGATTCACTGTATATACAAAGTGCTCAAAAAACAGTCAACATATGATGAAAAACACACAATGTGAAAAAAATAAAAATAATGAAAAAAAAGTCCAATGAAAGTGCAAAGATGCAGCTAAGGTGTTTCACTGCTCCAGGGCATGCATCACGTGCAGTGTATGTGCACACTACATCAATAGATCATACTTCACTGGCTGTAATGGCCTCTCACCTCAAGCCAGTGACCCAAGTGGGCCAATACGCCTTTTGGATCACACCCGGATCCCTCCTGTATGCACACTCATTAATATCCGCTCTCCTGGACTTTATCCTTAATGGCACCACACAGCAACTCGGATTTCCCTCCACTGGATAGGTACATAGGTATCCTCAAAAATTGCCACCTTGTTTGCATATGGCTCATGAAACAAGAGAAAAGAGATCCTCCATTAGTGGAAATAGCTTTTTATTGTATGTAAATAGCCCATAAAGCGCCAGAGATACACTCACATTTAGATGAAAAAAATGACAGCTTTCACACCACACATATTGGGTGTATCTGCATGACTCTAAGGTGTACCAAGATGGCGTTCCGCCGGATGTACGACACTACATTGTCGACGCGTTGCGTCACGTATACAAGTGACTTCATCAGGCGCAGGGGGAACACTACTCTGTTTGATTCTCCCATTTTGACAGTTTCTGCCTTTGAAGATTTCTCCTTTTATTCCTGTTCTGGTGGTAAAAGTTTGTATTTTCCCCAACTTTCAGTCCTGGACATAATGGTCACCTTGAAAAATACAGAGTATTTACCCACTGGGTAATAAAAACTTGACAGAGGTTCTAATTGTGGAATTGACAAAGTTCCACTAAACCCAGAACATAGCACTGAACTCTAATAGATATTTTTTTTTTCTGCCTTTCTCAAACCTAATTTACAAACCTTTGTTAAAAAGCACATGGGTAGCTGGGCACTACTATAGAGGAACAAAGAAAGAAACACATCACCTCTTGAGTGTAGACTGTAATTCAACTTTAATTGTTAAAAAGTAAGTAGGCAACCTCTATATTCATAGTAACAAACAGGCTCATCGTAGAAGGATGTCCAGACCGCCTCATCGCCAAGTTGGGATTATGTTAAGATTTTTTACATGTTTTATTACAGTACAATAAACTATTAAACCAAATACTGACATAAAACAAGTTTTCGCATAGAAAACTTTTTAATAAATGGTAAGTTTGGAATGACAGCTTAAAATTATGGTATGTAACTACAGTAATCATTTGTCAGTACTATTGGCTCCATCGTCGGAAAACTTTGAGATGGTCTCAGTGGAGGAATCATCCTCCTTGTCATCTCCAGATATGCTCCAGACCATGTCATCTTCGCTGCCATCTAGTGCATTGGAAATACAGCATTTGTTAAGTGACTTTTGAATTCGAGATACTGTGATGCATTTCCAGGTGGCAGAAACCCAGTGTGCAACAACATGTGGTGCAGCACGCTTAACTTTTTCTGTTTGGTGTCAGTTCCCGGTTTGCCCCACAAAACCATTTCTCATACTGCTCCTCTACTTTAGCTTTAAATGGTTTATTAACACTAACATCCAGGGACTGGAAAACAGAAGTCATCCCTCCTGGAATGACAAGTTCACTGTTCAAATCGCAAACTTTCTTTTTTACGTTGTAAGTTAAGTGACCACGAAATGAGTCCAAACAAAGCATTGACGGTAGATGGTTGAGGACACCAAGATGACAACCCCATACATTCTTGAGCCAGTCTATCTTGGCATCAATCAATTACATTGTCATGGAAAAGCTTTTCTGTAGCACTGGTCTTTGGGGAGGTTTTCTGCTTGAAGATTAAGAAAGGAGGAAGTTTGCTCCCATCTGCAGTGATTGCCAAGATTACTTTTATATGCTGCTTTTCATATCCTGAAGTTTTTATATTGGAACTACTTTTTGTCCCTTTCTCTGCAATGGTGTAGTTACGAGGCAAATCTAACCAGATTGGAGTCTCATACCAATTTTCTCCATTAAGAAGTGTTGCCTCGTCTGAAGCTTGATAACATACCGTTGAAATGTTTGCAGTTTTTCTTCGAAATCTGTGGGAAGCTTTTGGCGTACGTTGTGCAGTGTCACAAAGAAAGGTTCATGCGCTTCATGAAGTGATCCACCCATCCATGGTTGGCGTTTGAACACTTGCTTTGATGTACCACGGGCTGTAGCCACCTCATTAGCATTATTTCTAATTGTGTCACTAGTTACAGGTAGTCCATTTTTCTTCCTTTCCTGAATGAATTTGAAAACATCTTCATCTAACTCAGGATGTCTTCATTTTCGTGGGCCAGTGAACTTTTTCCTTGTCACTTTACAAGCAAATATCACTACTTTGCGCTCGGATTGGTTGCGCCATAAGTGAATGTTGCTCTCCGCTACACCAAATTCTCTTGCAGCCTGTCTGTTTCCATTGTTTTCAGCATCAAGTATAACCTTTCATTTGAACCCTGATTCATGGGACACCTTTTGTTTTTTCTCTGCCATCATAGACATGTACCAGGGTTTTGACAGACCAATAATGTTGGAAAAGTGTCCCCAGTTTGCCCTGCAGTTTAGATGTCAATCAGGAGAAGAGTCCGAATTTACATCAGTGCACAAAGCTAGAAACTTCTCAATAGCCACCTTCGGTTGGTACTGGTCACACATCCGGTGGTACTGGTCACACATCCGGTGGTACTAGTCACACATCTGGTAGTGCTGGTCACACACTGGGTGTCAGCAAGGGAGTCACAGCCTTACTGCCGTGTGTGTGGG